GGAATGGTGTAGAAATACAGCAGTGTATTCCATGAGAAACAACAAACTGTTCAAATAGGGTACCTCTGTGAAAAAGGCATCAAGGTGGGGAAAAGTGAAATAAGAGGTCACCATTTTTGTTACATCTTTTAAAAATATCATATGTGTAATTTTAATTAAGAAGTTTTAAACAAACACACAAGTGAACAAATAAATCCAATCACAACCTACAATTAAAAAAACAACAAAAAGCTTTCATTGCTCCAGTGCTCATGATGCTGGCTTAAATGCTATTTAATGAAACTATTTAGCATAAAAACATTTTGAAATTCTCATTATTTTATTACTGAGAATCAACTACAAACTGATGGGAGGATGCTATAAAACAACCCCAAATCACTCTAAGTTACTGTCCCTATCTTGTGCTCTCTTCTGTCAAATGGAACGAAATCTGAAACATAATTGTTTATTTGCCTGTTTTATAGGCCTGTGTTTCTGATTGGTGAATTCTCCTTCCTAATTCTCACTTATTAGGTGCAGTTTACTTAAATATAATGAAACAAGCCCATTTATTGATTCCTTAGCCTAGAAAAGCATCATTTTTATAAATAGAGCATATTGTCGCATGAGTCATCAGTGCCAGGATACAACCATAGGTATTAGCTAACCAGGCACCTATCCCACTGCTTATGGAAAACCAGATTGATTTGGAATGTGCATGGTACTCTAATAAGGCTACCAAATTCTTATTAGACCTAAACTATCCCTTAAGAAAATATATTTGTTTTGGCCTTCCTGAATATGTAATGTGACATTCTTCACTTCTCCACAAGTGCAGAAGTATCATTAACTTGTCTCTAAAAAATGAAGAGTCTGGATCTTGGGACAGAGTTCAGATTCTTTCTTGACTAGAATTTATTCACGAGTCCCCATTGTGCGCGCGCGCTCGCGCGCACACACACACACACACACACACACACACACACACACTCACACACACACAAGCTAGTTGTTGCCAGGCTGTTGAGGTCTGAATTATTCCTCTTGCCAGCTAACAAATCAGCCTGCCAGTTTCATGGATGCTGGCAGAAGACATGAGACTTTTGGGTCAGAGATAGCTGACTCGATTGCTCACAGCAATGCCAGTAGCTAGAAGATCACCACTTGTACTCACTCCCCAAAGCCCCACTCCCCAGGGCAATGTAAGAGGACTAGGTAATACACATAGTAGTCTGCTTTTCAAAGGCAGAACCCAAAGGTTAAAGAACCCAAATCTTTCATTTCAAAATATTTTTATTTTGTTAAAATATACATAACATAAAAATTGCCATTTTAACTAGTTTTGAGTATACAATTCAATGGCATCAAATCTTCTATGTTGGATAGTAAACCTGCCAGACTTTTACATCACATGGAGACATGATCTTATTATACTATTATAGATCAGTGGTTGGTAAACTTATTAGTCAACAGAGCCAAATATCAACAGTACAACCATTGAAATTTATTTTGAGAGCCAAATTTTTTAAAATTTAACTTCTAATACCACTTCTTCAAAATAGACTCACCAAGGCCATGGTATTTTTTGGAAGAGCTGCATGTGGCTCTCGAGCCGCAGTTTACCGACCACAGTACTAGACAATAAACAAAGCTCGCCTTTGTTCTACAGCAGGATTCTCAGCCCTACTGACACTTTGAACTGAATAATTGTGTGTGTGGGAGGGAGGGGGGCTGTTATATACCAAGATATTTTAGCAGCATCCCTGGCTCCTAACCATACATTCTCTTAGCTATTAGCATAACAATCAAAAATGTCCTCAGAAATTGCCAAAATCATATCCAGTTGAGAGTGACTCCTCCCAAGAAAGTCACTATCCCTGTTTTTCAGGCCTGTTTACTATACAAACATCCTTATAAAGATAGTCCAGAACTAAGGCAATCGGTGCCTCTACTCATAAGATGTGGAGAAACAGAAGAGCTCTTCAGAGCATTGGCTCCCAACAGAGATCTTAATATTTACTCCTAAAATTTGATATGCTTTTAAGGCATAGATAAATTACTTAGCACATGACATTTACACACACACACACACACACACACACACACACACACACCTTTCTTCATGGACCTTTGACTAAAGTTACAGCATGAACCATTTAGATGACAGAAAACCAACTCAAAGTAGTTAACTAGGATTGGCCTGAAAGGCAGTGTGTGTAAGTATCATTTACAGCTGAGCCAAGTCATATAGGATGACTACATTTCCTTTCTGACGCAAGAATTTTTCAATCCCTGGGTTAATCATTGTTTTGTTGTTGTTTTTTTATTTGTTTCTTTGTTTGTTTGCATTTACTACTCTTCCTCTAGATCACTCCTGTGCTTTGAAGTTTGACAGACCTGCATTCAAATCCCAACTCCTTTGACAATACCATCTTGGACATGTAATTCCACCTATGTGAGCTCCCTTTCTTTTTCTATATAAACTGAGGATTATCTCACAAGGTGGATATCACAATTGCATGAGATAAAAGTGCCTACTACAGTGCCTGGCACTCATAGATACTTAATGAACAGTACCTTTGTTCCTTGAGACCACCATTAGGGCACATCCTCAGAGCTGTTCTGACTGTAATGAATATTACTATAATGAATCTTCACACTAATTTCTCCACACTCTCACTTAGTTTTTGACAATATTTATAACAGAGCTGCTTAGGATATAGTGTTAAAAGTCACCAGATCATAGAGAGAATGACTCTACACCCTGACGTGAATAGCAGCTCATGCCAACCACATGAGCTGGACAATCCAAACTCTATTAAATCATAGTGTCAATTTTCTTACCTGGTTTTATTTCCTTCAAACTGACATCAATTAGTTAAAATTGCTCAGCTTTTATCAAGCTGTCTAGTCAGTCTCTTTTGCATACTTGTATGTTAATAAGTTAGCTCCATGGTCAAACACCCAAATAAGAAATCAAGCTCCATGGTCAAACACTTACCCAAGGATGCTCAGGTTCCAGCACTGATCTATGCCCCCTTCTAGTCACCTTTCTTTGTGATCATTAAACTTATGTGTAAAAAAAAAAAAAAAATACCTATCACAGATTTCATAACTCATTAAATGTTTAACAAAGAAATTTCTCCTCTGGAAATAATGCTACGATTCTTTTCTTGGTATCTGGCATTCTGACTTTGGAATATAAATTAATCTTGGTTTCGGCAACTAATAGGTGTTGTATATTCATGATGATTATTCTTCTTTGTCTTATAATATTTAATTACAGCTTCACAGAAGACTTAAAATTCCATTTAACCTCAGAAAAAAATACCTATCACTGAAGTTTATAAAAAATTATTAGTTGTAGCTAAGCCTGGATAATAAATTGGATTTTTGAAATCTGTGGTTTTTAACACATTGGGCTTTTCATTGGGAAGATGATACTTACAGAAAATGCCTCTGCAATAACCAAGCAGTGACTGCACTGGCTCACTGTGAATGCAATAACCAAGCAGTGACTGCACTGGATCACTGTGAATGCAAACACTATTGAGAAGATCATCTATGGAATTTGCTGGATTGTGAAATTTGCTTTTTGAAAGGGAAGTATCACGTAACTAGAGGCCTGGTGCATGAATTTGTGCATAGGTAGGGACCCTCTAGGTGGCCTGCAGGGATGAGGCCAAAATCCACAATCCAATGCTCCCTGCAGCTCCTACCTGCTGCTCCTGCTCATCCCTACCCCAATGTGCCTGCTGTGAGCTCCTGCTCAATCAGTCCCAATCAGGAGAGGCTCACTCTTCCAAGCAGCAGCACTTGCCAGCCAGGAACCCTGGGTCTGGCACCCTCCTAAGGGGAGTGGCCTACGGGATCTGGCTGAAACCAGCTCTCTGACATCCCCAAAGGGTCCTGGATTGCAAGAGGGCACAGGACAGGCTGAGGGCCTCCACCAGTGCATAATCAGGCCACAGAGGGACTGTGGGAGGGCTCTAGGGTGTGTCCAGCCTTTCTCACTCAGTCCAGATCAGCTGGACTTCAGCAGCAAGCTAACCTACCAGTAAGCATCTGCTCTCTGGTGGTCAGTGCAGGTTATAGCAACTGGTTGACCAGTTGACTTTCTGCCTCCTGGTGGTCAGTGCATGTCATAGTGAGAAGTTGAGTAGCCTTCACATATCATTAGCATATAACGCTTTGATTGGTTGTTCAGTTGTTCTGCCATTTGGTCTATTTGCATATTACCCTTTTATTATATAGGATAGTCAGAGGACAAGTGGCAATACCTAGTGACTTCTCCTTCCCTTGAGCCTGGGATTATGATTTCCCCTCCTCACCTAAATTCCCCTCCTCCACACAGAATTGTAAGAAACCTGGTTGAATTGTCTTAAAAAGTCTGTTTATTTCTGGCATAATTTAACTAGAATTAACATTGCTCAATTCCTTCTGTAAGCACACATGAATGCAAACACACACACACACACACACACACACACACACTATTGTGCTCCACTGGCCTAAGAAATAAAATCAATATACACATAGCAAATATTTGAGTTGCATTTATACAAGTATTTAATATATGAAGAAAGAAAAAAAACTCCAATCACAACTACTTTAAGGACCCTAAAGGAGAAAACACTTTTGTTTTTAAAAACAAAACCAAACAACAATACCCTGCTTTTCTAAAAGGAGGACTATTTTTGTAGATAAAACCCAAAGCCAACACTCTTTGTTCCCCCCTCTGTCAAGTTTCTCCCTCTTTATATCTCATTCTTAACTCCAATCCACCAAATTCTTCAATGTTGTTTTTAAAAGATATACCATTTTTCTGTAATCATCATCATCATAAAAGACTCCATCCAAATGGCTATTCTTTGTGGGAAAACTAAAAAGAAGTAAAGGTGTTTAGTTTTGTTTTTAAGGTTTTCAGCCACACTACACCTGAGAGGGTTTAACTAACATATGAAAAACTTGAAATAAAAATAGCAATTGCTTATATATCTTTTTACAGGCATAGAGATTACCTGATCAACTGGAATCTCAACTTGAGTGTCTTCATCTTCTTGGACTTCTACTGCCCCCCGCGTTTCAGATCTTTCTTCTCCAGCTTTGAAAATGCCTTCATCTGTTGAGACAAATACACAGTGAAATCAAAATCCAATTGTGACATCGTGTGGCTGCATGTAGAAATTACAATCAAATACCTGATGAAAACATTTATGAAATAGGTATTTTGGTTCCCTTTGTCTGGACAGGATTTTTGTAGCTTCCCTCCCTGAAGTTCCTCTCCATTTTCATTGGGAAAAGCTTTAATAGCCTAAACAAGGCTCACCCAGCAGAACAAAGATCTGTCCCAAATTCCCCCTCATATGTTGGCTCGGATTTAATACAACACTGTAAAGGTGTTTAGATGGAAGAACTTCACACTTACTATCTCTGTTCTCCCCTCCTATCCACGAAACAGTGATAATGCTTAATGCTTTTTTAAAATACTATTTTATATTTTTCTTTCCAAAAAGATACTGGAATAATTCTCTCTGTTCAGAATAATATAAAAGAGTATTTTTACTGTAATAGAATCATAAAGCTGACTCTGCATCACACACAAATCAATCTTTTACTTTGAAGATTTCCACAGGATTTTTCCAATCTATTTTTAAAATCTCTAACTATAAATGTAACCTAAATCTCTAAGACTTTAGGTTAAGCATCTTTGACTTGTTTTCCTATGGAAGCAAAAGGAGCTATTTTCCATATTTGAAAGAGTTTTAATGTCTTCTCTCTCAGTCTTCTCTTCTCCAGGCCAAGGAATCAAAAAGTCACAGAACCATGGATCATTATGTCTGCCTACCTGCCTCACTCACAGATGTCTCTCTGTCCAATTCTCCGGGGATGGAGAAACTTCCCTTCCTTGTTGGTAATCTATTTCACCATGTGCAACCCATAAGGTCTAGAAAATGGTTTTGTTTTTTTTTCTAATCTTTTTTATTAATACCACCTCTATTTCTCCAAAGAATGCTTATTTCCTAGAGCACAGTCATTTAACATCTTCCCATAATATTTAATGCTGTTAAAAAATGAAATAATTCTTAATTAAATGTAAAATATATTTTCATATATGCTGGGGACTAATTATCTCTAAGGCACAATGGAGCACTCTAAGACAGTGGTTGGCAAACTGCGGCTCGCGCACCACATGCAGCTCTATGGCCCCTTGAGTGTGGCTCTTCCACAAAGTACCACGGCCTGGGTGAGTCTATTTTGAAGAAGTGGCGTTAGAAGAAGTTTAAGTTTTAAAAAAAATTGTCCCTCAAAAGAAATTTCAATCATTGTTCTGTTGATATTTGGCTCTGTTGACTAATGAGTTTGCCAACCACTGCTCTAAGATATGAGTGGGATGTAGAGTGTTCCTTCAAGTCTAATACAGACCAATGCGCATACAGAGATATAAACAACAGAGTGCTGTAATTGATCAAGGCTATAGCAGAGCCCTATGGAGCTTAGAAAATGCAGCCAAGTGAGGAAAGGAGGAAGGGAGGGTGGGAAAGAAGAGAGGGAGAGGAGGAGGGAGAGAGACAGAACCCAACTCAACTCCTTTTTGTTTCTCTTAAAGAAACCATGTTCATTTTAATTACTTTTTTTGTGACTTGACTGGATGATGGCTTCTCTACTCTCCTTTTTTAAAAAGGGGACAGCAGAGCACCACTCACAGCTGATTCTCCATGTTAAATTAATTCACATGGATTAATTCATTTAGAAGATTATCTACAACAATCATTTAATCCCAGGCTAGATTTTCCTATCCTCCAACAAAATAGTTTCACTCTCTTTTCTTCCATCTGGTCTTGTATGCTTTAACAAAGCAAAGCAATGTTTCATTCACTAGAATGGTCTCAATTAAATCACCCTGCATGTATATGTAAACTGCACATAGACATACATAACAGGATACACTACAGAATCATTACCCAATGATGACTTCAGCATTGGCAGCTATTTTGGATTATCTCTACAACTAACTAACGTCCCCTACCCCTAGGACAAGGCTCACACAGCATGTCCAAGGATTACGTCCTGACTCTGATGTTTCTCACAACTGAGATCAAGGATCCAAAATGAAACTGCAGCCAAAGTTCAGTGATACCAGAAGAAAGAAAGCAGAAAATAAAACAGAGAATGTAGTGGTGTTCTCACACATACAGGCCTGGAGTAAATGCTGAGTTTGCCATGCACTCAACAAAGCCCAGGGTGGGACACTCTGAGGGGCTAGTAAAACAACGTTCAATCACTGGGTCCTAAAGGAGGAAAGTGAAAGGGAGGAATCCAAGCCTATAAAACTGGAATCAAAGGGACAGGGTAAGGCGATACATGTCTCTCCATCAAATTCTGGAACTTGGAACTCGGGAAAATAATAATAGAAACAATAAAATAAAATAAAAATCTGTTCTATTCACATGTGGAATTCATAACTCAAAGATGCTCAGAGGCAGAAGAAACCAATTTCAGAAAAGGGTTATACAATTTGTTAGCTGTTACCTTCAAAAAGGTTTAAGAAGGAAAATGAGATATGTTTGACTTTCTACCTTCTAAATTACCTTAGAAGATAGCAATCTCTCTCATCCACAAAATGTGCCTTGAGTTAACCTTCAGAGGCAGATATGGGATTCATTAGACTATAGCTATGACCTCTGTGCATGACTTTTTTGGATGATATTTTTGTATCCAAGTGTTGCACTTGCTTTCAAAGAGACCACAAAGAGAAGCTACAGATATAACAGAAATATATTCTTAAATACTCACATTCGATGAAATGTTTAACTGTATCCAAGCAGTGCTATGAATGGCTTGCAGATGTGTTTTAGAATAAAAATTTCACCAGAAAAGAAGAACAAGATCAATAATCTCAAATAAAATAGAATTGAAAGTGCACTGGAATGGAAAAAAATGGCAACTATAAGAAAATAAAGAGCAGAGAGCAACGCTCACTCTGTGCACAGGAGCACAGAGAGAATACAGAGGTAAAAGAGTCTGGCTGAGGGTGTGGGGGAGGGGACTGAGAGGTGTGAGCACAGACACAGAAATGAGTCAGAAAGAAATACGTAAGAATAAATGGTGAGAAAAAAGGAATAACAGCTAGAAAGTTACTGTGATAGAAGAAAGCCTCTTAGGATTTAATATTTAACTATAAATGTTATGTATAGTTAAATATTTTAAATAGCATTTTATGACTACAAATATGTTTATATAACACATATGCATTTTAGAAAACTTGGAAGATGAAGAAGATAAAACATCCTTCTAATCTCTTGACCCAGAGATAACCACTAATATTTTAACAACAGACATCCATCCTCTCTCCCTCTCTCTCTCACACACACACACATTCATAAAACTGGCACAATTTTATATATATTTTTAAAGTTCTTTTTTACTTAAAAATCATATTGTGAAATTTCCCATGTTAATATTCTTTTAACACTTAATAAATTGCCACATGTGGTGGTAATTAATGAATGGTGCTGAATAACTAAAAAAACATACGTTTTTAAATTAATAGGGTAGATTTCATTTATTCGACTGACTGGTAAATACAGTGAATTTTTAAATAACATAGCTTCATTCAATATCATCTTGTATTAATGTTGACAAGAGAAAATACAGATTCCAGGCCGTTGCCATTGTCTGTGTGGTGTGTGCACATTCTCTTCAGGTCTGTGTAGGTTTTCTCTATGGACTCTGGTTTCCTCCCACACCCCAGAGCTGTGAATGTGAGCTGAAGTGGCCTGTCTAACTGATCCCAGTCTGAGTGAGAGTAGGTGGGAGTGGCCCTGTGATGGAAGGGGATGTCCGATGTGGATCCTGCCTTGCACCCTGACCTGCTGGGAGAGGCTCTGGCCACCCTCAACCCTGACCTGGAATCAGAGGGGTGGAAAATCATTATCTGATTTGCTTTCATTCATCTTTCTTAAAAGTATGAGGCACTCACATGTATTTCAATGTTTAATATTAGAATTTTGAGTCTTTATTTAGGTGTTTGGTGTTTTTTGTTTTGTTTTGTTTTACCATAAATATGCCATAGGAACTAACTCTTGTTTTTATCAATTAAAACTATGTTACAATTGATTTCGTTATATGTCGTTTCGCTTAAAGTTGCAGGTTCCAAGACCCTATGGATGATGTGAAGTGAGGATTTACTATATGTTTATCACGATCTACTGTACAGAAGTCATTCTGGGAAACCTGAGAGGGCTGAACTTCACAGGCTTAGCATCTTGAGTTAAGATCAGAGAGACACGCATTTTTTATCTTTCCATGAATATACCCTACGGCTTTTCCCTGCCTGCTGAGTCCTGTTTCCCAAGAGAAAGCATGGTCCATGGAACACATAGAGACCTCAATAAATGTTTGTTGAAATGAGACAAGAGACAAGTTTCTGGTTCAATCCCTTCCTCACATACTGATGGACTCCCTTCCTGCTCCATGTCCTCTACAACCCTCCACCTCATGCACTCTGCCGGGATTCAACTCTTCCTTCCACAGCCTTCCTCTAGCATGCTGACCATTAGTCCTTCTAAATCCTTAGCCTTTTCACTGGATGCCCCTTCTACCTCTCCTTACACGAAGCTTCACCAGCCCAGGTTCCTCCCCATCCTGTATCCTAGCATCTCAGGAATTTCGATGCCCACACGATGAGCTGTTCTACTGCACTGACAACCCCGTCACCTCTACCTCACCATGTATCCTTCCCAGCATGTGGGGAGACTTCAGTCATGTGCGATAGTGAGCAAAGAACCCAGAGGTCACAGTGCTGCTGTGCTAGTTTTTTGTCCCACGCCTCTGCCCTCAACATCCAGTTTACTGCTTTCACCTTTGTCCCTGCCTGGCTGACTATTGGAGTCTTACTCATGGTTCAGATCCTATTCAGCTCCACAAAATCGCCTCAGATATCCCCTCATTGCACAACTAAAGAGAATCATTAGCTTTCCCCATGCATGACTTCCCCGTGCACGCTTCTTCTTTCTAATTTTCTTTTTAAATCCTTACGAGAGGACATGCTTATTGGAGAGAGAGAGAGAGAGAGAGAGAGAGAGAGAGAGGAGAAGAGGAGAGAGAAGAAGAGAGAGA